AGCCATTTGTTGTTTTTGATGCTCAGTTTGAATTAAATCGGCAGATCTGGTTAATCAAATTCTCACAGCCATTTGTTGTTTTTGATGCTCAGTTTGAATTAAATCGGCAGATCTGGTTAATCAAATTCTCACAGCCATTCTTCATTCTTGACCATAAATTAGGTTTTAAAAGAGACATACTAATATCTTCTTCTTCTAGATCGTGCATGTAGTAGGAGAAAGAGGAACACCCAAAGTTTATAAATCAAATAAATGTATTCTTATTTTCTCAAAATAAATAAAACAAAGAAAGATTGCACTAAAAATGATAGCTAAAGGTTTAAAATAAAAAGCACAAACAATTCCATAATTATAATGAAAAAATATGTTTGAACAAAGCAGTGATATGAAAACGAATGAGCCATCCTCGTATTGGTGGAAGGCTATAGACTAACAAAGCTTATATAGTGGTGCAGTACATGTTAATATGTGAATGGGTGGAGTTTAGAATTTTTGGGTAGTGGCACAAAGTAATAGTTATCAGTTCTGTGAAGATGAATTGAGTGTCATTTCTGAATAACAGTATTTAATCCACTGCTTTTGATTAGGCTTCACCAGCATTTATGGATAATGAGCAATACTCTTCAATAATGATATAATACAGAATATCAACAATTCTATTAGTATGTTCATTTTCATACTTATATAAATTTCTATGCTTACTCTGATAAAGTTTCGAGTCCTTGCTCCTTGTAATGGAGCACAGTGCGTATCTGAGACAGTTCCTGTTTAAGTTTTGCCACACGTTCGTGTGCAAGGGCAACTTCAGCTTTAAGAAGTTCGGGATCATATTTTCTTCCACTGCTACCTGATGAGAAGGAGCTCATAGAACACAAACTACTACTAGATGTACAAGTGCTAAGGCACTGAAGGGCTTCACGAAGGTGTTGATATTCATCTTGAGCATGAAGAAGTCTTTGTTGTTTAATGTCAAAAATTTCTTGTTTTGCCTAGAGTATAAATATGACATGTCAATGTTTATTGCCCCTTTAACCCTATAAGAACAAAGTTGGTTGAATTGACCAACCTTGGAACTATACCTACCCTAACTTTGAATTTACTAGATAGATATTCATGAAATTGGGCAAGTTTCAAGTTATAAATAAAAGCAACTATTTCTACTAATACTCTGTCTCTGAATTTCCAAAGACTTCACTAAGTCAGGTTAAGTGAAAGATGATTTTCATGCTAAGAATAACAACACTTATTTCCCCACTTACAGTTTTATAATTCATTTGCATAACCTCTAAAACCTATCAAATTAATATCAGTAATTATTTTTAGATTTATTTTTTATTTTATCTACTTAACATTAACTGTAGAGAAATCATCAATGTAAAATGAAAAGTTTAAAAATATGAAATAAAATGAATAATATCAATCTTTCCTTTGCATTTAGTGCAATAACAATCAGAAAGTTCTTAACACAACACGTTTACCTGTTTTATTTTAATTTCATAGTTATATTTCTGTACTTTGTACTATTAGAACAGCAAACCTTCTATAAAAAGCAATAAACCACAGCAGGAGCCCATTAGCTATTTCTTGTAGAGCTCACATAACAGCACACTCTAGTGTTGTATTTTGCACCAGAATTCATGGTAATTTTAGATTTTTTATTTTACTAAACAGCTATTAGACTAAGCTGAGAAATTTGTAATTTTTTACATTTTAGTTACTTTTTTATATATATAAATTAAAACTATACATAAAAAACAAGGACTTCTAGTACTAACTGCATATCTGAACTGTTTGTATTCAGGTAATAATATTTGAACATTCTCACCTAAGCTTCATTGAATCTCACAGCTTTGGATTCCAAAAAAAAAAAATTAATGTAGTTTACAAATATACATATTGTCATATAAAAAAATATATCGGGAACTAGAAAAGAATATGCCAATATTACTACAGTTTATCTGGCATTCTAAATATGTTATAAATAATTCCCTTAGCCATTCAGAGTGGCAAAACCATGATCATATGACATTTCTATCAAGAGAATGCTCTTTTCACTATGTTCAAAAAGGATAGTTGTATGCTTGATCCAGAGAAGAATCTGCTCTTTCTATTGGTTGTAAATGTCTCCTTCAGTCATGTAAAGTTGATTAGCAAAAAAATTTAAACAGTCAAAGGGAAGTGGGAAAGGATTTTGTGTGTGTTAACAATGTTATTGGTTACTAAAATGGTTTTTTAATTGGCTTCAATCAGAAACCTTAGGTTTAATGAAACTTCCATGAGCTTCATAACATATAAAGATACAGAAACTATTTTTGCAAATTGTGCTTGTGTTATTGTTATTATTGAAGTCTCAAATTCTTTATAGTGTATGTTTTGCTCTGAGCCCTGATCATTTGTTAGTTCACAGATTAACTCTTTCCAAACGACCAAGTCAAAATCATTTGTTATGACCTTTTAGTATTACATTCAAAATGTAATTAAACAACTTTATCATCAACGTATGTAAATAAACGTGGCAAAAAAACATAGTTTATAATTAAAAATTCTATATTATCTAAGTTTTAACTTTTTACTTTCAAAAAGAAATACATAAAAGTCTCAAACTTCATTTTTCTATGTCATATGACACACCTGAGCCCTGAATTCCTCACGTCAGAATTTTCTAACTCCTAAAATAAGCTGATGCAATTTACAACCAATAGAAACATTAATTGTACGTAATTATACACAAGTCTAAAATGTGAACCTCCTATATTACACTTCAAAAAACTGAAACTGAAACCAAACTACTTCATTAAAAGACAAACAGAAAGACTCATTTATTTTTACAAATTCCTAAAATATTCATTACCTTCTTTTATATTTAAAAAATTGTCAATATTATTCATGTAAATTCTGAATTAAGTTTAGTCATATCTCACATAGATCTGAATCAATCAGTCTACAAGTTGTGATAGTAACTTTATTTTACAATTTGTATATTATTAATTGAGTAACTCAGCTTGACAGTTGATGGTTGCATGTATTTCAATAATGTTCATTTTATAACTCCCCCAACATAAGAAATTCACTTACAATTTCTTATTATTTTATCATCCTAATGAAATAAACATTAGTTGTAACAATGCATTTTGAAAGTAAATTTGTCAAGATGACAAAATTCAAACTTGCAAGTTAATAAATGAATTTGTTCCTTTTTTGACTGAAGTATAGTTTCAGCAGACCTGCAAATCTAAAAATACTTTCAGTGTAGTTGTATGTTTAACACACATAAAACTGGAGTGATGAATGACTTCCTAGTATAAACATTGCGAGTTCATGATGGGTCATAGTTTTATAATTTTTTGTTTCAGTCTCTTGCTTTTAAGTATTTTATTAAAACTGTTTTAACAAACTTAACTTCTTGACCCAATAGCATAATTTTGGTGTTTATCAAGTTAAAAAATATTATCTGAGACTTATGAGTAATGTTTTCTCTCGATTTTTGTGATATTTTTGAATAGGAAAGTTACATGTGTCTGTAGTTGCATCACCTACAAGGCTACACCATGTGCTTCAAATGTTCTCTTTACATGGCCTACTGTAACACAGGGCTACACCATGTGCTTCAACTGTTCTCTTTACACATTGTACAAGTTAAGTCAATCATCTTCATAAAGTTTAAATATGTCAATAACCAGTATTCTAATATGAAAACATTACTTGAGAAATGAAATTTTCCACATTAAATTATCTATTATTTTGATGCAATAAGTATTATTTTGCCTGCTGTATTATTTTAGTGTTCTTGTAGTTGGAACTGATTACCTGTAATGGCCAATTATGAATGCAAAATTATACAGCTTTCAAGATTTGAGCCAATATAAAAGGCTGTAATGCCTAAAAACCTTTAATGCTTACTCATGTACATATCAACTGGACTCTTTAACATACATATCAACTAGACTCTAAGATACATATTAACCTTATCAAGACAGGTTTTGTTACAGGTAGGGGTCAGAGTGCATGTCATCATGATTGTAGAAGCCTGTGCAGAGATGGAGCATATTTTTGGAGGATTTCCATCAATTACATCAGCAGAACATCACTGCCCTACTTTCAACTGAATGGATTTGTCATTGTTTATATTGTACATCTCTCATTCGGTAGAAAGACTCCATGGTCCACTAACCCAGCAGCTTGGAACTAGAAAGTGGTAAGGACTCTCTTACTCCACTGGAAGAAATGGGGAGACAAAATGTGGTTGAGAGTCTGGAGGAACATACAGTAATCCTCTTATGCTTTACCCATGAAATTCATAGGTCAGTACAGTCCAGAACAGGCATATATATGAAGCAAATATATCGCGAGGAATAACCTAAGAGCGATCTTGTAGAACACCCTATCTCTAGTATATGTAATAGTAAAGAACAGTGTGCATTTAGCGGTCATGGAAATGATGAAAGTGAAATAAACATGGCCTTACAGTGCAGACTTGAGTACAAATCCAAGTGATTGAAGTATACCTGAACAGGCACCACTCACCACAGAGTGGAATCTAGATCATAACACATGGACAGGCCCCTGAAAAAGAGAAATAAGGGAGAAAAAAAACTTGCACAGTTGTAGGTATACCAAAGTCTTAAGAATGGCAAAAGGTGAAAGATGAGAACTCAACAATAAAGAAACATCAACATGATGCAGATAATGAGAGATAAAAGTTTGTGGAGTGGTCCACATGCACTTGAAGAATTCCTTCCAAAAGATGATGCAGATGAGATGCTAGAGAAAAAGTAAAGTACCTAATCAGATGGGAAGACACCCAGAATAATTGACAGGAAAAATGTGACAAGGAAGAATAAGCCAACTGAATTAAAAACCGAACCCAATGGGTAAGGATGGAAGGAGGAAGATCACGAACAGAGAATAATTGCCAAGCAATGAATAGATGGAAACAATTATGATGGAAGGAAGCCTTGTGGGAGATATAACAAGGAACAGCATGATCTGGACACAGAAGTCTATCTAGATGAGACCTGGAAAAAAGGTGGAAAATGGAAGGAAGGGAAATTGGCAAGAAGGAAAAATTACCCTCATGAGCTGTCAAAATCTTGGAAAGGAAATACTGATGTAAGTAAAGGAGAAGATAAGAGGAATGGTACAGAGTACGTGAAATGTTGATGGCAAACAAATCCAACCAAGGATGTCCCCAGGCTAAAAGGAGGAGGAAATATGCCTCAAGGGATAAATGAAACAAAGAAGACAAAGGTTCACATGAAGGTCAACCAACTGACTCAAGCCGCCTCCAAAGGAAGCAGTAGTGTGGCGAGTGGACTCTACTTCGGAATGAGCCAACAGAAGCCAGCCATCCATAGAAGACATACAGTACTACAGCAAGTGCGAAATTGATAAACCACCTTGTGATGAACAAACCAAAGATAGCACATCAACTTCCACACTATGGAAATATGGAGATAAACAATTGAGACGTCGACCTTGGTCATTCATAAACCTGGAGAAAAAGCCTATCTGAGAGTAAAAAAGGACTTCATGGTAAAATGAGGTAGTACCAAGAAATGATTGAAGCATGACAAATTGATCACAGGTTTTCTTGGGTATAACAATCAGCCTGGAATAACACCCTAGAGAAGGGTGACCACAGGCTTGATGCATTCTGAGAGAGAAGATCCTGTATTGCCTCGACAGATGCTGACATGTGGTAGGATCCCTAGACAATGAAAAGGAAATGGGTATCTGAGACAATTGAGGAGGGGAGAGGAAATGAATGACAAGTCCCTTGATTAAAACCTGAATGACCCACAGATCCCTGGCAAAGTCTTACAATAGACCAACAAAATGAGATAAACAACCCTCCACCAGACCGGAGTCCACAGTGTAGTCACTGATACTGTTGGTGGCATGACACTTAGCATCGGATAAAACAATGAGAAGAAAATCCTCCGGTGGAAGGAACAGGTAAGGGATGGGAAGGATTAGGATGGAGAACAGAAATAGGGGATGTTTGAGGCTCTGCAAGAGACAAACAATAAACCAATAAAGAAAGGGTGGATTGCTGTCTCACAGATTTCACTCAGGATTCCAAAGTTGCTGGAAGATCTCCAAACACTGACCGATGGAAAAAAGAGGCCAGGCATAAGTTCCTAAAATAAGGAGGGTAAGACGAAGGCTATAAAACTGGTCATGGGACAAAAGAATAGGATAAACAGAATCTGCCCTCCGAACTGGTAAAATGGATTCCAGTTGCCGAGAATCAAGGAACAGAAAACCGGCCTGATGATAGGCTAAAGCAAACTGATCTGAAGCCCACAGAAAGTGAAGCATGCCCATGACATCACGTAACTGAGATATAAAACACTCAGCATGAACCCCAATATCAGGAGATGGTGGAAACACAAAATACTGAGAGGAAGGAGTATCATGTAACAAGAAAGGTAGAGGATTATAGGAAATTAGGGAAGGGGATAAAAACAGAACATACCTGAGAAATCATGTCCAAAAAAAAAAACTGTATTAGGCCTAATGGAACCCATAGTAGGAACTTGGAAAAACACGGCACATTCAGGCGGAGAATAAAAGCTGTCATCCCAAACAGGTTTGGCTTGTTCAGGAGGAAGTTGGGCAACATAATGAGAAGGTGGTTGGTTTAAATAACGATCAATCACTCTACGAATAATTGCCAATAAGTCGAGTGTCCCCCACCTGAAGCCTGAGTAAATGTGCTGCAGAAGATATAACCTCTGATATGGTAACTTGCACTTCAGAATTCATAATGCAAATAAAAACCAAACATAACTGTGTTGGTAAAGAAAGAAAAGCATGGAAAAGTGATTAAGTTCTGTAACTGGGTAGAAAAGTAAATAATACCACAATGAAATGAGGTGCAAATAATAACCTTTTAGAATAAGTAGGAAACTAGAAAATAAATGATACAAAAATTCAAAATTCAAAGAGAGAGCGCTAAATAAAATATCCAAACATGAGCATTGCCAAACAAGAAGTGATAGTTAAGTAGAACAGTATAGATGGACTCACACGAGTCCTGTTTGTGTGGGGCGCATCTATTGTTGGTGGTTTGTTGCATGACAGTTTGCATGCATGAATTAATTGAACCATGTCGACCCAGGGGTACATGTGAGTGGAAGGCTTGTGGCATGGCAAATTAAATTTTGCAAATAAAGGGCAGCACTGAAAGAGAATAGCTATGTATGTGAGAAGTAAGGTACCTTGTTGGAATACTATTTTATAATTGTATGTCAATAAGTTTGTTCACAAGGTGTTGATTATAATACAAATTTTAGTATTATACACTATTTAATTTCTTAATTTAAAAGTAAATATTAAAAAAACAGTTAAACATCAATTTTTGTGTGTCACGTGGTATGTTGAATGTAGCTTTGGTTCAAATTAAATGTTTGTGATGCTCAAATAGTCTATAGTTTTTTATGAATTAAAAACTTAAAGTACCGATGTTGAAAAGCTAGAATATAAGATAAGAACCTGCTATATTTTCTGTTTTCTGGGATATTATTATATTTATTGAATCAACCAATGTGTCCCCACTCCCCTCCTCCATTTTTGAAAATACTTGCTTACATACACCTGCTTCTCTCTACGATGTTACTAAGCCTGATAAATTATAGTGGAATTCTGTATTTATATAGTAACAAAAAATCTTAAATTATTTCAATATGCATATATAAAACCTAAAAAAATTATTTATATTTTACATCCTCCATGTGTGAAATTTTACAAGGCTTAGCATATTACGGCAAGCGAGTACAAACTTTGTAAGAAGAAGAGATCAATGTTTTCTATATTTCTTTATTTACCGTTCCAAGTTTTAAAAAAATAACTGAAGCTTAAGAACTTACTTGTAAATAGCAATAATATATATAGATATGTAAGGTATTATAACTGAAATGTGACTGTATTTTACAAAATACTGGTCCATTAAAACAAAGTCAAGACAGGTCACTTTTATACTATATTGGATACAGTAATATGAGTGCCCATGTGCCACATCATTGTAATTTCTGTAATGTTAGTCAAACATAGCTGAAAGGTCAGTAAAATAAAAATAATGTGTATATATAAATGTATAAATGTTATGAGATTTAAGCTATTTAGACTAAACATTTGTGGTTTCTTGTTATAATGTGCAGTCATTCTAGAATGAAGAAAGCATAATTTATATCTATTTCTTAATTTTTTATGGTGGTTAAGAGGTCTGTAAAATTGACAAAACCCATATAGAGGTACAATAGTGAAAACAACGGATAATGTATAAAGTATTTTCTAAAAAGAAACTTTTGATAATTATCTGTAGATTATGCAGGTGAAATTTCACAATTTTCTGATGGATAGAAGTATTTTTAATCTTAAAATGACTTTGCATGTTGGATTGTCAACATTCGAAAAGAAAAAATAATGCACGAGCAAATCATTACTTAAAAAATCATAAAACTTGATTAAAAAAATCTTAAAGTTTGTGTAAGAAAGCCATGTAATCTTTATTGATAATCTCCAAAATTTCGTGAAGATACGCAAACTGTATTAAAATTTATAGTATGAAAAATAAAACAATATGGTTACCAGGTCAGACCCTAACCAAGCCTATAGTGAGAGAGTTAATGGGACTCTAAGAAATTTTATGTAACTTACTAGTAAGTCTTCCTGGGCAGTGAGAAGATAGTCTTTAAGCATTTGTTCTTGAAGCTGCCTGTACTGTTGTCGTGGATCTTCAATTTGATTGGTTTCTACACAAGATAGGCAGTTAAACATTAAAATATGAAACCCAATGTTAATCTTCTTTGTACTGAATTAAAAACAAACTAACATAGAGTTTTTGCCATTTTCAGAGCAAGGGAACAAATAATTTCCAAGAAATAATCAGTGGTTTCTAAAACACTATGTAGTACAATTTGAGAGAACTTAATTTGGTTAATATTCTCCACAAAATTGAGAACAATTATCTCGCACCACTACTGAAAATATTTTTACGCACGCACCATGCCTTGAACAAAACTTCTACCCCTACACATATTAACATGCACTGCACCAGTCTGTGATGCAATAATCATCAGACTATAGTGCTCCATCAAGAAAAGGGCAACATATCCTCCATGCTCAGTAGTCCCATTGAGCATATTGTGTATTACCAGGAGCTCATTATTGACGAGGCAAAAGAAATATAATGGGAGTGGGGGAGGAAGAGTGAAGAGGTGAGTATTGATCTGAAATAGTTTTTCAGCTAAGGACAATGCTTATTTCAGGAATGCTACTTACCTCTTAATGTAACTGAGAGCTAGAATCCCACGTTGAGAAGATGGTGGAAGGACTAGTGTAGAAAAGGAATTTAAAAAGATGAGTTCCTTTGGAATATATGGTGACAGGAAGGAAAACTCACAAAGCCTGATACTCAGTGAAGAGAGAACTTAGTGAGACATCTCTTCAAACTCATGTAGAATTTACTCTTAGCCCAAGAGATGTGATAGAGCAAAAAGTAAAGTCAAAAGAGCCTCCTATCACACAGAAGGATGGAATGAAATGACTGCTTAATCTGTCTGTATATCTTGGGTCAGTGGAGTATGTATTTAGTGTAGTCAGGTTATACAATATTAAAAAAATACTTACCAGAAAAAGCAGATGCAGAGATAGGTCATCTCAGACCTACATCATAAGAAGAACACAAGACCCAAGTGGCTGCTAACCACTGGAAATGGTCTGGATCTCAGTGCAGGGGTAGCCAGCTTATTACATACTTCTTGGCAAAACTCCTAGCCCTACTTCTAATCAAGGGGTATGTGCACTCAGACTCATTTCAGTGGGGGTTACAATAATTTGAAACTCTACATATCAATTTCCCCAACAGCTTAAGAAGAAAGTGTTCTGTCATTACACCACAGGAAGAAAATGGGAGAAGAGGATATTGCACAGAGGTGAACACTGAATAGGTGCTTGGACTGAACAAGAATTTTCATCATTTCCATAAGATCCCACATTGAAAGACTGTGCAACGGATCACCACAAATAGGTCCAGCAAGTACTAGCTAGGTGTGAGGAAAGGATCACACCTCCTGGTACAGTCTTTTTTTTTCTTTCTGAAGCATGATCTGAAAGGCAAAATATACATACTGCTGAAGTGGTCTTGTGTAAAACCCCAACTCAACAGTGGGCACTGAGCAGGGACAGGTGAGCTTAACATTTTCTGTTATCCCTATTACATGGGGATTTTGGGAAAGAGAAGTATTCCTTGTTAAACATCATCAGCCACACAGAAGGTACCTTAATCTTTGATATGTATAAATAGATATATAATAATGGTAATGAAGAGCCATTAAAAAGGAATAATCAACAATTCACTTCCCTACAGACTCTGAGATGATTGAAGAACGGCAACTAGAGGGAGACGAAACCACACTGTGGTGTAAATTAATGAGAACACATATGTGTAGGGATCATTAACATCTCCATGTGGAAGATCTCATCTAGGTGACATCAATGACTAGAGGCAAGAGAAGCCATGTTCCTTGTCAGGAAGAAAAGAATCAAAATCAAAAACGGATGTTAGGAATAGGTGGAAAAACTGTCAACAGAAACAGGAGATCAAGACCTGGATCCAAGAGTACAATGGAATCAATCACCTGCTGCACAATCACATAGTGCCTCCAGTTATCATTGAAACAGTAGAAAATAACAGCTGTTGTGGATTGTCAGAACATCAAGAGGTGTGTCAAACACGGATACGTGAATTCATGGTTTAACCAACCTACCAAACCATTTACCTTGTCTATTTTTGAAGTAGGTCTAGTATGTCATTAACAGACTGAAAAAAATTTAGAGTAAATCCTGTCAAAGCAACAAAAAAAATCTCCTAAATTGATTAAGAGACGAAATCAAATTAATAGGGAACAAAATTCACATCAGAAGTTTTAACTGAAACGTCTACAATTCTGTATCTTTCTTTCTTGAAGTCAAGGAAATCAAGACTACAACATCTGTAATTTGTAATGAGAAAAACATGTCTAAAGCTAAGTGGTGCCGAAGAAAGAAATGTGCTTATGAAAACAAACCATGTGCTGAAGGTGCATGGAGGATGTATCACCCTCCTATTGGTGGAGGGCTATAGTCCAATGCTGATTGTATCATAAACTGGTGTAGTGTACAATAATATGTGTATGAGTGGGAGTTTCATTCAAGGCTTGGCATACTTGAAAATATCATTTTGGCTGTGGCACAAGGTAATAGCTCTTAGTTCCGTGGAGAGGTAAGTACCATTTCTGAAATGTAATCTATTTCTATCATGATTTTTTTAAATGTACTTAATGCATACATACATTCTGAACATAATCATATGTCAGAAGGACTCAAAGCTGTCAAATATTAAAAACACAAACACATGTCAGTACATCATCTAAAACTGCACAGTCAAGGCCAGAATTAATAATATCACACATTGTATTGATTATTTGTAAATTAGATAAGGAACTTTAAGTCAATTTTTTTATATAAAAAATAAAACCAGTGTTATTATTAATTTCATCTTTTACAAATAGGCTTCCAAGCACAGAATACTTTCATTAGGTATATACCTGTATCAAACAATTGTATACTTACGAGTAACATGATTAACATAGTAATATCCAACTTTTGAGTCATAACACTGTTCCCATCCATAAGGAAGTTCATCTCCAACACAATCCGCAAATGTATTTGGCCTAACTAGTCTAAAAAAATAACAAATAAATGAAGTAAAATTAAAAACACTAATGCTGAGATACAACAGTCATGGCAGTAAAAAAAAAATGTAAAGTTACAGTACATAAAAAACAAATCACCAAAGTTATCATTTTCCTAAATTGAAAATGTATTTCCAATAATACTCACCTCTTCTGACACATAACTATTACTCGATTTTCACTTTGCCCATCTAAGCATTGGTCTCGCTTGCTCCAGTCTTTTATACCCCACTTAAATGCCCTTAGCAATTTTTGTCTTTGTAACACACTCCACCTATGCCAATACACCCAATATCCTGGTACAACACCTCACTCAGATAATGTAACCACTTTTTTGAGACTTACACCATTCCAGTCACTAACACTGGCTCTTAGTGGAGAGGAAGGGTAGGAGAGTGTCAGCAGAGGTAAATATTATTGGAAATACACTTTCAATTCTGGAAAATGTTAACTTCCAAACATACATAACATCCACTGACACATAGCTAGAATCCCACACTGAGAAGGTGGAAGGGTCAGTGAGGGCATTATCCATACAGAAAGCATCTGCATAGAACAGGGGTGTACCAAGATAATAATGGTACACGAGTGGGGGAACCACACTACATCCTGCACAGGTATGACCTAGTTCCTGGATGGAATTGTATATGAGTAATCATTATAGGCCAGCACAACCACACAGCCAAGGTTCCACAACTCGGGATTGGAATTAAGGGGTTTTAGGTATCCCTATATCCCACATTGGTGGCTAGGACAATTGGACCACAACGTTATATATATATATATATAGATAGATAGATATACTTTAGATTGAATCCCAACCTGTAGCCATGGAGTGATATGTTCCGAATCATCAGGAATCAACACAGAAGTGGACAAACCTTCTCCTCCACCTGAAGAAGTCTGAAAGGCAACATCTCAGGCTCGGAATGTGGGATCATGTATACCTTACTCAACCAAGGGAACAGAACTCATCCTGTCTGGAAATATGAACATTCATCCTCACTCCCCAATTGAGTGGGCAAGGAGCATTCCAATTACCCCTGGAAGTATGGAAAGGACATGGAACACTGTGCTCAACCAAGGATCTATGATGGGGCCACTCCACGTTCAGAATTAAGAGGAGATAGTGGACCTACTTCCATGAGCAATATTATAAATCAATATTGATCAAAAAGAAAGTCCATGCACACCCCAACCAGATAGCTTAGTGTCAAATATGAACCAGTATTACGAGTAGGCTCCTGTGGAGGCTGGTTCCTCTCCTACTGACATCTGCAAAAAACATCTAGGGAAACAGGTAGGAGAGCCCTCAACTTCTCCAAGAGTGGAAGAAAACACTCAAAGACTCTGAAGGAAAAGTCTGTCCACTACCCCAGTAACTGGAAACTGGGTGTGGTAAGGACTCCCTAACTCCACTAGTAGAGTCTGGGGGGGGGGGGGTAATGCATGTTGGAGAGTCCTGAGGAACAGTGCAATCCATGAACCAAGTTCCTTAAATTCCTAAAAGCTAACTGACCCCAATTTATTCAATCTGGTGCTCGACAGGGACAGGCACGATCCCCTTTAGCTTTACTCATGAGTGGTGGTCAAAATATGTAGTATGTTCCACTGTCAATAAAACTCTTCCTTATGCTTATAAATCATTGTTTGCCTCTCTATTATTATGTATTTAACTAATTAATTACTAACATCATGAAATAGAAACATTACGTACATTAAAATACTTTTCTGAAGCCATAAATTGATAACACAACATAACATTTAAGTGACAATAAGGTGCTTCTTTGTCCCTCAAGGCTGTCCCATCCACTTAAAATAAAACTCAAGCCTGAATTATTTAAATACATAAGCCTTCTCTTAAACTCCCTGAAATTTACTGCATCTAACACATCTGAAGACAATCTATCCCAAAGGCCAAACACCTTATTATAAAAGTAACTAGGCTGAAGATGACTCTTACTCTGCTAAAATTTATACATGTCCCCTTGTCCTACCATTCTCATTAATAAATTTGAAACAAATAAGATGATGTATCGATACTACCAATTTCCTTAACAATCTTGTGCACCTCAACCAAATCCCTTATAATTTTTCATTTTATCATCAGAAAATACTTTTCATATGAAAGCATATCCATCCCAGGTATCATCCTAATACAGGGATAGATGTTAATTTTTTAAGGCAGTAGAGAGAATTTGCTACCTGCCTGAAAACTTAATAGTAAAATTATATTATTCTCTAGCTGTTTACACATATTAAAATACATATATAACAAAAAAGAAATCACTTCACTCTTGTTTTGAAATGAAGTGGATAACCTACATTATCACAAAGTAGACTGAAAACACTTGTTAATTAACTTTTGGTGAATGTAGTACAATAAGTTTTAAATATATTACAAATATAGATTAGGTACATGGTATTTGCATTTCTTTTCCATTAAGAATAAAATAAAAAGAACAAATCTTTATGAAACATTCTATCATTTCTGTTGTGATTTGATTCTATTCTTCAAATTTAGAGTAATCAAAATGTAATTTATCAAAACAACAAGAAAAAAACTGTTATACTGTGCACTTTCATATAGGCCCACAATTTCATCAATAGACACAGCACTTGAAATTTGCTTCACTAAACTAAACAATGATATAACAGTCTTATACCCTTATCTTGTCTTTTCAATCCTTTCCTCCAGCCATTATTTGAAACTTTTTGGCAGATAGTATAATTTAGTACAATTTTAAGGAACTACACTGATGCAATTTTTACAATGTGTAGTAAAAAGTATCAGTCAAATAAGAAAACATGGTCATATTAAAAAAACGTTTCATTCAATGCTGCCCTCTATAGCAAAAAAATTTATGCATGCCACAAGCCTTTTACCTCCCCTCCATTGGAATTGACTACTTCCAATGCGTCTCTCATGCATCAACCCTTATGACACATGTGACTCTCTATGTTCAATTCTCCAAACTATCACTTTGAGTTTTGGCAGAAGATGGAAGTACCAGTTTTCAGTGGGGTGGGAAGTGTGAGAAGAGGTAAGTACCTATTGGAAATACATTTTCAAAATAGGAAAATTATAACTTCCAATACGATACACTACTTCCGCTCACATAAATAACAAGAATCCCACACTGAATAGGTGGAGAGATTGGTGTGAGGGTAAGAAAAAATTATCCTTCCAAAGCATCTGACACTCCCTAAGAGGAGACAGTCAGATTATAAGATCTGATGTAGGGGACCACACCACTTCAGAACCAGGTATACACTTCACCCATCGTGGAAAACAGAGGAGCACATCCAAGTGGGAGAGAAATAAGGTCAGATAGTGATCAAAACCACATAATATTTATGCAACTCCATCCCAGAAAATATAAAAGCAGGTAAAATTAAAAGGATGTGTCCTAAGTGTAGAGTGGTTAAGGTGCGATGAACCATATACAGCAAGTCAACTACATCCAAAACCCTTGCCGCTGGGAACTGACATCCACACTACAATCCAGAATTCAGCCACTGGATACTGACATCCATGTGAGAGTAGGAAAGAAGATCATACCACTGGTAAGTCAATTACAATCCAAAACCTGGCCACCGGGGGTTGGAAAGAGGATCATATCGGTGGCAAGTCAACTACAATCCAAAACCCAGCCATCTGGCAGGGGTAGGAAAGAGGATCATACCATCTTCACCTCAAGTTCATGAAGATGGGGAGAATCAAGAACCCCCAGACCCATGAACAGGGCACATGTTAATATAAGACACTGATAGATCGACCCGGGAACTCGACGTCTGGTATCGAAAAGATGTCTGTATAATGTAAACCATCTCCCTCAAATTGAAATTGACCGAAACCACACCAAGCACAGTAACATCCTCGGAATAATAAGCATCAAGGGATAGCAGAAGGGGAAGAACCATAAAATTCTGCAAATACTTCCACCGTGATCCACAACAATGACGGAGTAACAAGAGCATAAATGAGGGAGGAATATAGACATCTGTAATACATGTGTGAGGACTTATGTTAATTGGTCACCTCTAAATCCACATGGGGGGTAGGATGAGGGTTTCAATACTCATGGTGGGCACAGCACAAACAGCCCATTGCATAACTTTGCACTTAACTACAAACAAAACAAACACACTGCCACCAATGTAAAGGTTTTTATAATGCAGTATGCAAGGCACTTTTCTCCAATTCTTGTGTGAAACTTTCATAGAAAACAAGGGAAAGAGGAGAACCCACTGGTACACCACCTGTCATCTTGTGCACAAGTTATTTTCAAACAAAATATAATGCTGAAAGACAGGTTCTTAATATTTCCATTATTGACTGAACTGATATAATAGCATGTCATATTTTTGATGTTTCTGTGCAATTAACAACATGGCATCATTTCTAGTTTGTATGCAACTTCTTGAATTTCTGTTATGATTTCAAGTGTCAGAAGGGTATGAGGAATAATGTAAAAATTATGGCCTTGTCTAAACAAAGAAATCTGCTTACTAGTAAGAATCTTACTTGAAAGATTATAAAGTTAGATGTTATACCACTAGAGACAGATTCTGTACATTAAGAATACTACAGGACACTACGTTACTTCTTTGAGGCCTAACTGTAATCTATTATCTTTTATACTGCTTTAAATTGTATACCTATTAATTGCATATGCATTAACTGAATTAATTAGCAATTTCCTTATGTTTAATAGTGTTGCGTGAGCGAGGTCATGTGACTAATGTCACGCCACTTTTCTCGAACCTTCGGGAATAGTCGGGAGATTACTAGATATAGGGTAGTCTGGTATATATATAAGAGGGTGACAACGTGACGAATTAATGTGTGTGTAGGTAATGAGTAATTGAACTGCAGTCAGAGAGAGACGTATTGTTGAAGTAGAGCAGGTGAGACGTGAACTAGCGTTTGTTATAGCACGAATGTTGAAAATAAGTGTATCGTAAAGTTGTATTCGGAAAGAATA